TGTTACGCGGAATTACGGAATTAAATGAGTCAATATTGACTAAGGGAAACTAGGGAGGGAGACAGGTATAAACGCATGTAGTTTCGTGGCGTTCCACTTTTCTAATGGCGACGCTGACCTGGACTTAACTAGGCAAACCAACGTACGACCGAGTACACTTGTGTGTCGCGTAATGTATAGGTTTTCCATTTTCTCTCTTTGTCGCTCGGGTGCGCTTCTCATCTCTCTCTTAATTTCTCCAGCGATACACAATCGGCTCGTATTCAGCCGTGAAAGATCGCGCAGAGACACGGAGTAAGTTTACTCCGTCTTTAAAGCTCCAAGGATTAGCTGATACAATAGTTTTGCTCTTTCTCAGGAAGGATTTTCTTCCTCGTTCAATTGTTAATTCTGACAACGAACTCGAACTTCTTTTCTATGCTGCTTTGTTAAAAGAAATTATGTATACGCGGCGCATGCGCAGTAGGCAAAACGTAGTTCCATCGATTTTTAAGGTTATAGCGCAACAATGTGATATTTGTGGTGGGTAATTTTTGTTGTTGTTATTGTAATAAACCCTTTGTCCCTCTTCTATTCTGTCATTATAGACATAAGTATATCTGTTGGTTCTCTTGGACTAGTTATGACGCGGGTAATGCAAGATGCCCGATACGCTCTGAATATTACTTCCGGTTTAATTCTGCGACAATGCTCACACGACAAGTGCAACAGAACACCGCTTACGCTTGCATAAAAGCGTAATGCATGTTGGTACACAGCCGTGCTGGGGATATCGAGAACCAAGGTTACCTGCCATCTGGGTAAACACGTCCCTAGAAAATTATGCAATCCGACAGAATGCAGGTTATCTTACGTAAACGTCCCAGCGTCCCGACGTCCCTCGGTACCTCGATGCAAGTATCCTCGTGCGCTCGTTCACAATAAACTGCCGAGAATATATCTGTAAATAGTGCAATTGATCGAATCGATCTTGTGCCTAGAAAAACTGGATCTTGACACGGTAGCTTGGCAAATATTTTAATTGCCTGTTAATATAGGCGAAATAGATAAAACTAATCTTTGTGATATGTAGTATATATATTTAGTAAATTATATATAGATTGCTATAAACTTTTTCATATGTACAGCATACTCGAATTTCATGTTAAGACGTTCCTGGATGAACGCACCCTCGTTATATGTGTAGGGTACGAGTGGAATATAACTATCAACCCTTTTAATACTGCTCGCGTTACTGTTCTCAAAGGAGGAAGTATTAAATTTTAATGAGAGCACTGCGCGCACTGAGCACATGAGACTTTTAACGGGAAAGTAGTCGCATCTCAAATTTCGCGAAACCTCATAGGTAGCAATGCAAAATCTCATAGTTGGCTTTCGCGAAATGGGTCGCAGGGGTCGGTAAGAAGTATTGGTAAAAACGAACGAGCTCGAATAGTCGTAAACTACTTTAACTTTGTATTTGGTAGTCGTCTATTGTGCATACGCCGTAAGATCGCTGTAAATTCGGCCTGATGTTAACCTTAGAGCGGGACTGACATTTCCTCGATACCTTTTAAATAACACACTCGTTGCTACTGAAAATCCCGGTTGTGTACTCTTCTTGCCGAAGCTATTTAAGTTACTATGGAAACAAACGTCGCCCAGGGAAACGGCAATTCATGTTAACATTGAACGGATGCTGGATCGAATCACCGTCGATGACATTTATAGATGCGCGTGATGCACGCGTGAGAATAAATAGCAGCTTAAAGCCTGACGAGCGAGTCAAATAATTTTGATAAATTCGCTGTCTGGCAATAGAAAGAGTCTTCATGTTGATATAGTTACCTATCATATATTTTTTTCTTAGAGTCTGATTGGAAGTTGAAAAATTTATATTCATTCCGTTGCCGTAGGATTTTATCAGTAAAATACGCATTCGATTCGCCATTATTATACAGTCTTGCTTACACAAGACACTATATGGAGATTCGGGCTATCTTTAGCTGATTCTTGTACCGTCTATCCGGAAGATTGGACAAAGATGGCAGCGACCCGCTACCAATATTGGCACCCGGTGCCCGTGCATTCCTCCTAATAGTTCGTTAAGCCAAAGTTAGTAGTAAGTCCTCTGTCTATCCACCTGAAACCCGGTGAGTGACCACGCGAATGCGCTCCGAGTATATTTCAGCGTCGTTCCGTCTTACGATATATATGTATTTTCATAGTTGGTCGAAAATAGAACTCTGCCGCTCTAATATTATAATAACGATGACTCGAGCGTGTGCGAGAAGCGAATAGCGGCGGAGAGTAGATCGCGCGAGAGTAGTGGCGCCACATGGGCTCCCGCTATACATAAGAGCAACTGGTATAACGTGCTGCGAAGTTCAGTTTAGCTTTTCGTTTTGTGTACCGCGAAAGGTGAATCGTGCACGTTTATAGCATTCTAAATAAGCGACATATTACTGGGTACGTTCACACTGCGTTAGATCGAACGAAGGCATTTTGATGTAAAACTTAAGTTGGCAGCATGGTAATAACATAGATTCGGTCGGGAAGAAGAAAAATTACAGATTACTATTTTTATAAATTCTACAAAATAACGTACACGGAGTTACATTTTTTTGCATTGTTGCTGTGAAAGCCTTTTACATTTTTTTCTGCTGTGCTTACAAGACTCTGAAGCCTCTGTCAGGTATTCTTTCAGGCGGATGTACCATTTGACTGTCTATGCAAATTCGATCCTTCGTAAACAATTCGTCAACGACAGTGTGGAGTGGCCTTTATAGCACGGCTGTACGACAGTGGGTAGTAGTAGTACTCTTCCGTGTTTTCTCGGGCGGTTGTGACAGGCTGCGAGGGGTATAGGTAACGTGTGTGTAAAACGTGCATTCGTCGTCAGTGTTTCGTAAGTAAGTCTCTGTGACGTGTCGCGTACCTGATAGGCTCGAAGGATTTTCTCTCCTTGGCAGTGGACTTGATATGCTGGCATTTATAGGTTTATTCCTGCTCTGGAATTACCTGGTGAGAATCTAACCAGTGACTTATAGTAATTTACTAGTGAGATACACGGTGCGAACGTGAAGATACGGTGGGATACGTGAGTAACTTTTCCCGGACGATAGTGCAGTGACTCGTGATGGTGTTCCTTTGACTAGAAAAGTTACGCAATGCCTAATAGACTACGTAAAATGGTAATTACCTTGCGAAAGCTGTTATTTGTCCATTGACTGTTAGACTCTGTATAGTATTACACGCTTCTGTAATAGTGAATATATTATGAGTGGATTCAAAACACTCTGTCGAATAATTTATCTTACTTGTGATATATCTTTGTGGATATGTATGTATGTCCTTGATACTAAGTTTTAATACCACCATGTATATGGATGACTAAAGAATGCACGAGCTAACGTGGAACGTACTGAAAGCCAAGGTCAGTTCCAAAGATATCCACGTTTCACGAGTGGCTGAACAAACGTGAAACAGACGCACGTTCATTTCAATGGTTCTTTTTACCATGAGATTTCGACATCTCTCTCGTATGGGAAACTGTGTATTGAATGATTCTGAGACAGAGTGCACAGAATAAGGCTCACGTCGTTTTACCGTAATATATGCAATTCTATTATCAAGGAGATTTTAATATACTAGGAAGTACTTTCGAAAGTCTGTGAATTTAATTACACGTGTGCTAGGATGGCATATTTTTGCTGAACTCTCTTGTACGACGAGATTATAATAAAATCTTGTCTTGCTCTATCGGGACGTCAAAATTCATTTGTTCAGTTTTACCCATTCAGACTGAAAAAAACATATGTGATTAGGATCGAATTCAGTTATTCCCAAGGTGCAGATTTCATTGCATATATGTCGTTCAGTTATATTTTTTTCTGAAGTTTTATGTCTTGTATTCAATTAGAGTACACGTGTGGTGCCTACTGTAGATAGGTACTATAGACAAGTAAAGATTCGGTCAAATATTCGATTTCCAAATAAGAATTTTTCATCTTGTGCATATGTGATATTATTGATAGGAAATATGTCATATGTGAAAATGATATAAAATCTTCGTAACTCGGCCTCGTTTCTTCCGAATCTATAATCGTTATGACCTGAGGGATCTTCAGTGACAAAATGATTCTCATAGATTTTGCTATCCGATATCTCAGGAGCAGCCTGACCATTTACTAAGAATCCAGTCGAGTTCACTGCCATCCGTCCTGGCTAAATTTAATCCGTCTACGTGTCCGTATACCGTAAACTCGACTGTTATGAGAACCCGGAGGCGATCTTCGAACTCTAGCCGACGGAAACGATTTCAACTGAAAGTTTCTATTCTTCTGAAGCCTCCGGATACGAAGGGATATACGATAAATCGTGCAAGAGTAACGTTATCAAATAACTCGAAGCTATCTCGTTAAGCAGGATATCACGTACAACCCCCATTGCACAGGGTTTCGAATCAATTAAGTAAGGCTACCCTGTTTGCAGGGTAGTTAGTCCCCTAACTTAATTAACAGATGTCCGAGGTGAATTTGGAAATCAACATGGAGGCACCTCCTGCCTTGGTAGAGCATGTATGTGTTTCGTAGTCGAGATCGATGCTCCCCATTCCGAAAGATCTTGTGAAATTTCCCGTATAAACCTACAACGCAAACTTAGCAGAGTTCTCGTGCATGGTTATTTTTTTTTCTTTCAAATTACAATTTGTCTACTGCACTTTTACGTTAGTTCTAGTACGTATGGCATCGTTAGAGGACGATTCCTGGGAATAGCATTTTTTGTCAAGACACACAATTTTAGACTGTTTCGACCCAATTTCAAAGTGCCCCGTACGGCTGGCCTTGACTTCTTTTTTTAAACTCATATGTCTGCCCTAATAGACTCGAGTGTAGTGCTTCCTGTATTGTCCTTTAAAATATGTTTCGTTCGCCCGAAAAACTGAAGCGTTTCTGTTCGACTCATTTAATCAGACAAGGGTTCTCCGAGTTCACGTCACGACTCGATTTATGTTCCAGGTCAACGGCGACGATGACTGGGAGTACGAGGAGATCATCCTCGAGAGAGGCGGCGCTGGTCTTGGATTCAGCATCGCCGGAGGCACGGACAATCCACACTTTGGCAACGACACTGCCATCTACATCACAAAACTTATACCTGGTGGAGCTGCCTCGGCCGACGGACGCTTGCGCGTTAACGACACGATACTCCAGGTGAACGACGTCTCCGTCGTCGACGTACCACACGCGGCGGCTGTCGACGCCCTCAAACGTGCCGGAAACACCGTCAAACTGGTACGTTCTCAATGGCACCTACTTATTGCAGCTGGTGCTCAAGAATATGGCGTGAAATTAATATCCACCCGTTAGAACGAACTGCCATCCCTTTCCATCTTACATCTCCTATCCATATTTCACTCTTTTTGTCTCCCGCTAAAGTTTCGCCTCCATAACTTAACAGGAAGTCGAATCTTACTTGACGTAGGATAGCTATAGGTTGATAGATGAGCGATCGCTGCTCTGGGACTTTTTAAAGCTCCCAGGAAAACGGTTCAGGCTTTAAACTCATCTTAGTGGATGGAATATGAGCGTCTGGCGAATTCCCGACATATTTTTACCAGGTTGGGAATTTTGCATGTTGTCGCTCGTTGGCGAGGCTGTCGTTCAGTTGTAATAATCTGTCGTGACGGGGTTGACCGAAGTTGAAATAAACTCCGGGGATTATCGGCTAGACGGGACAGACAATGGTGCGACGGGTCTGGCTACAGTCTGAAAGACCTCGCTTGCGATCGAAGTATCCAATTATTGTTGCGAAATACAACGAGATACCCTAGAACGATAACAACGTCTGCTGTCTGTCAGAGACAATGCTTTTTATTCTTCCTTTATTCGGCGCGATAATACCTGATATCCTTTCTCCTCCTGGATGCTTTTTCTCCGTTTACTTTTTCTTTCCCATCCTCATCCTCGTTCACACCCACGTTCCGTATACGCCTATGTACTTTTATTTTGAAGCTCTTGAAATATATTTTCGCGACGCCCTCTTATACAATATCGAAAAAGATCGACGCGACGTGTCGCTTGATAAGTAACGACGACGTCGGAGAATAGCGTCCCGTCAATTTCGTAAATTAGTGGATGACGTTGACGACTCATACTTGTCGGGGATTTACGATCGTCTTTTGTTTTTGGTGATTTCTCCGCTGTCGCCGACACGTCACGTGGCGGTTTGAAATTTTTATCGTGTTATCACGCTTGAAATATTGACAGTGGACAGATTGCGTCTACTGAAAACAGTGGGTCGGTCGACTGCATACATATATTTATGCGACCTTAAAGGGCCCTCATAGGTGTAAGGTGTAAATTTCATGAGAGTAACAGGAGATCCTAGATCAACTATTGGACAGGCATTTAATTACCGAGGATTCATTGTGCTGGGTCGAGAAGAGTGTACTGTTACTCCTCTAGAGATTTATGAACTCGGCTACGTCCGAAGAGGTAATTTCGTTAAAACGCAAGATTTTGAAATGCCAATATTAGCCAAGAGGACTTTTCACCGGATGTATCCTCCAAATAAGTATATCGAAATTTCGAAATGTAGAATCTACAATTTTCGCGACACCGAAAAAAAGTATTTATTTAACGTCAATTTTGTGCTGGCATCGCGTTGCGGTATCTGAAATAAATTGTATTTATTTTCTTCTCTGCTTGAATTTTTTTCATTTTTCAATTCCTCTACCTTGCACCATATATTAATACTGTTTTCCTTGTTTCTCATAGTGCGTTCGTCGACGAAGACACACGCAATTGATGGAAATCGAACTCATCAAGGGCAACAAAGGTTTAGGCTTCAGCATCGCTGGGGGAATAGGCAACCAGCACATCCCGGGTGATAATGGGATATACGTCACGAAAATCATGGATGGCGGAGCCGCACAAGTTGATGGACGCCTCGTTGTTGGCGACAAATTGGTCGCCGTTAGGAATACGTTGGTGAGTAATAATGTACCTTTAGATTTTATTATCTCACGTTCACCTGGTTCGTGGCATATTCTTGTATGTTTCCTGCGTTCCGTCAAATCGCAGACGAAACTTGTGGATATCTCGATAAATGGAATTTCCTCAAACGCTTCTTCGATTTCCATCAGCGCTGGAAGGGTCCTTCGTCGTGGCTTCTTTTTTATATGGGCCACGTCATTGCGCTTCCGGCGACACTTTACACTTTCCAATTTCAATTCGACACCCTCGCATCCGGCGGCTGTCCCAACAATATCAAGGCGCGATATACAGTAGTTATTCGTGCACGAGGTTCAGAGGTTAATGAAGCACGGACAGTGGTTTCGTTCCGTGTTTTATGTCTTAGCAACGGCTCAAGGACACTCTCTAATGACTGCTCAACTGGAAGCTACGAACTCTTTTGTGAAACCGGGTTTGGGTCTGCCTGGGATCCTCGCGGAAACTAGTTTCAGCTGCGGCCTTCTACTTTTCTGAACGACGGAGGGAATGTTTTCGCGAGATATCGCGTTTATTATTTTTTATGTTCGCATATTTTCGGACTGGACGGACCATTAGGCTTGTTACGACGTGGCATGGCACGCTTGCAGGTATTATAAAGCCTATGAGCAATGGCTCGAAAAATATTGGTCGTTTCATACTCGTGGTACCCTCTGTCCGTCTAAACCGAGCGTGAGATACTGTTTTCCATGTATATAGAAAAAAATGTTTCGGTTGAAAAAATATTTTCCGCCCTTTCCAAATCACTGGTGAGATGTTATTTCATAATCTGATATTTTTTAAAACGATTTCCTTTCTAGTTTCCTTTTTCCCAACGGTACTATCCGGCTCGAGGTTCTTCCTGAAAGATTGACACTCGGGTGACAACCCTTGACTTCCGGGCCATATCAGTTTCGTGACAGAGCGCGCGGAATGGCGCAGGCCTATCCATTGTGTTCGGCAGCTTTTCAGGCCGTGTAAAAACTCACTTTAGAAAAATGAAGTTGCCACCATTTTTCATGTCCGCATAGAGAAAGAAGAAGGGTGCCAGGACTAGGCTATGTTCGCGAAAAGCGGCCCACAAATGGATGGTTAAGTGCGGATAGGAGAAATAGATTAGGGTGAAAAGAGGGTTTCGCGTAATTGATAGCCGCACCGTCAGCAATACTACTCAAGACGTGCCATTGCCTGAGTCCAATACGCGATACCTATACTTCCTGTGCTTTCCGGTAGTAAATTCACCGTATGCTTCGTATGTCCTTTTTGTTTCCATTATATCCCTGTATTGAATTATAAAAAAATAAATGTCTCTTCGAAAATATCCCGAAGATGGATTTGACAAAAAAAAAAAAAAAGACAGCAGAATCAGATCAAAACGATTTAAAATAATCAATATTTTTTTCAACTTCTTAGAGATTTTTCTTCTCTCCTATTATTTTTCGTAAGACTTACCTTCAACCTTTGAGACCGGGAAACACGTAGTCGTTCAGGTATAGTTAGTTGGCCACCTACGGCCGTTCTACTTGTCACTGAATTCGCGCCTGTCATTCAGCAAATGGACATGGGTCCCGTAACACTGGACCCTACCACGTTATATATGAAACTATCTCAATCCCGGGCACCCACTTCGTTTTCCCGTTTGAATGATTCGCTTCCTGTCTTATCCATTATTATCGCTTGTACATTTCGTTCCTCTCACGACTCTCCAGGTAGGAAGCATCGGCAATCCGTGCAACAAGCAACCGGCTAGACCTGCCGTTAATTGGCAATTTCAGTGATGAGATAACGAGACGTGTAGCTACACTGTAAATTCAGGTGTGCTATTCCCTATCCTTTTTATGGCAGTCACTTTTAACACACTTACAAGTGTGCTGTTATTCCCACATATTCCAACGTGAAAATAATACATTTGTGAGTGTGTACAAAGTGAATGCCACAGAAAGAATAGGGAATAACTCATTCAGATTTACAGTATATGCGTACTGAGAGTTTCTGGCTTGAACGATCCTTGTTACTTTTCACAGTGAATTCCTCAGTGCGTTAATCCTCAGTTAGTTCGACTTCCATGATAACTGTTTGAGAGTCTCTCTGCGTCTAATACTTTTCTTCCTTTCTCCCTCTCTTAACGATGCTCAATTAATCATTGTTCGCGACAATACCGACTCTTCGAAATTCTTTAACTTCTGGCTACTCGCTCTTTTTCCACCCGATAAGAAAAAATAACATAGCAGTACCCCATGTTACCTGATTCTTAATACCTGTAATTCTCAGTTTGACACAGTCGGTAATGTCATCTCGATTTCTCGAAAATGGATACGTGCACGTACACAATGTACATTTTTTCGGATTGTCGACTTGTTTTCGCTTGTTTAATAACGACCATATACTTTCATTCTTATTTCGTGTCCCCACTTCATTCCCATTCCAGCCTCGATGGCGTCATAACAGCTCGCCGTATTTAACCTTCCGCCATGTAATTCGGAACATGGATCAAAGGTCGTATATTTAATCTTATACTCATGGTCTCTATTGGAGCCAGATCCTTCATTAACTATTATTATGAAGAATCGATCAAACTCGAACCATCCAATTACTTTTTGAGGCCCTCGAAATAACAAAGTTCATCTCGCAACAATTCATGTTCCTTTCTGATAAACGAGCCTTGAAGTTTTTACTACGTTTAACCAGGGAATATATCTCAAGGACCATGGAATGGAATTTCAATTAAACTCCCTGGTCGATATATACGAAAATAACAATATATATGAGGTATGAGTCAGCTATACAGGACATGAGACTAATAATTGCATTGGAAGTTCCTACATGTTCTCGTCTTCCCTTTTCATTGGACTTTGTCTGCTCGTCATTCTTTTACTTCGGCGGGTCTTCCCGTTGCTGATGGCCCGAACGCACGTGACGCTCGTTCCACGGTAAAAATTTTTACATGGAAAGTCAATTATCGGGATCTCGCGTAATTGACGCGTACACGCACAGATACATAGAATTTATTCATACGCCACTGAAATATACCATAAGGCTCTTACGCACGATCTCTTATTAACTGCAACTGCGTTACTTTCAGCAAGGCGACAAGAACCTGGAGAACGTGACGCACGAGGAAGCCGTGGCGACGCTGAAGGCGACACAGGACCGAGTTGTTCTTCTTGTAGCTAAACCGGAAGGTGCCGTACCACCACCACCTCCGGCATCCGACCTCTCGCTCTCGCCGCAACCACGTGAGCATACCGCCATTACTTACTTGCATGTCTTTTACTCAAATTTTAATGGGGCTTAAAATGTCGAGGGAGCCGCTCGCTGCCGCCACTTTGCCGACTATAAAACTTTCATACGGATAGAACAAGGCTCCTTTGTTTGCCGTACCGGAATCGAGGATGAAACTGGAATCCGGTGGTTGGGCGAACTCGACTAACAGAATCCTTGCATACCGAAAACTGTTGGAGATTAAAGGAAGTCCGAAAGAATGCAGCGACCTTTTCTTGTTACGATCTTCCTTTGCTCCTCCGACAAGAATATTTTCTCCTTATTTTCACCCTTTGAATCCCAGACGGCCAGCGTATCCCTGAACATTAATAAAAGATCGTCCTTGCTGGAACATCCGAGACGCGTGGCTCTAAATGCTCGCGATCTTCTTTCCTCGATCTCCGTACAGATTATCCTCAAGATTTTTAACCTAGCATCACCTGCAATTGAAAAGTTGAGCACTTTATGCCATTGTCGCCCATTGTTTAATCCCTCGTGAAACTATCGAAGCTAAATTCACTCCTTTCGAACTTATGCAGTCGCTATGGCGAAAACAAGTAATTTAACCAAGTTTAGACATTCCATAGGAGTGGCACGTACCGGAAGTCGATATCGCCATTAGTTACCAACTTGCTGGCTCGTAGATACAGTGTGTATGCTAGGATTGTATAATGCCGATATCGAAATTCAGCAACTGCCAACTTCGCGCATTATAAATTAACTTCCCTCCATCTCTGCCACGTGTCGAAACGTATGGTCACTTGTGGCTGTGTTCACTTCAGTTGTGATATCGGTCATGCGGGGTGCACTAATGCTCCATTACCTAAGTTTTCATTTCCTACGATAACGCCCAGCTGTTCACAGTTTATGTCAGTTCCTTTGGATCGCTACCCAGACACGTGCTAAATTCGTCATAGAGCTTCTCGGAGCTTTTGTGAGTCAGTAAAGAATTTTTCTCGGTGGCATCAGCCGCGACGCGAACACCGATAAAATTAGCAGACCGGGCTTCAAAAGACATGTGCGTAACACGCAAGCGTCGGTATAGAGGCATCAAGCCAGAGATCGTTCAAAAC